ACATTCTGGAATAGTAGTAGGAACCTTTGCTTAAAGAAAAGACATTTTCTAAATGTCTACTTAATTTCTTAGGCAAAGAAATAGGAAAGACAAGCCAAGTTATGATGCCATAACAATCTTATATATATATATATATATATATATATATATATATATATATATCTGTTCCAGATTTGGACAGTTAAATCAGACCATGCTTTGTTTGAATTCTTTCTTGTTGCTTTATTCATTGTTTTTGCATGTTAATTCTCTTAATGTTCATTCACAGAAACACTGTCATGACAGCCTATGCTGTCATATTTTGTTACCTATTAACTACACCGATTTGGTGCCTTTTTCATGAGCACATTGACATTTTGAATTCAACCTAACATCATGGCATCTTGATTTGGTTTCCTGCCAAATTTCTGGATTTACATCCTAACATGCCATGTGCAGTATCTTTTTCAGCACACTACCATTTTTGGATTCCCAAGTCATTTCATTCAAGTGATTTCTTTTGAGTTCAACTTTTCCTTTCATCAAGGACCATAACACATGAACATTCCAAAGACTTTCATATGGTTACTATGCTCCTTGTTCTGAACTACTAATTTAACTACATTTGCATATTCACACACTTACACTTTGGAACATTTTTGTGTGTTTTTAATATTTCATCCCTTACCAGGTGATGACTTCTCTCAATCCTTACAAATTGACAAATGTACATATTAGTAATTAAGTTGTTAATTGTTTACCAATAATAAAACTTTGGCCTTTTTATTAAGAACTCTGTCTTTGTTGTAATTCAGTTTTTGGTGTCAATATTTTCCTGATATTCTTTATATTAAGAATTCCTGATAAAAAAAAAATCATTGACCCCTCAAATATAATTATTTACTGCCCTACAATGATAATTACATAAAACAAAGCCAAAAGTTTGGAGTATATGGTATATGCTGATCAGTTATTGTCATGCAATGTTTGATGACTGTATCATTCTTATATTCAACTTATTCTGAGACTTCAAGCAGTAAAAAGAAAATACTTTCAGAAAAGAAATATCAAAACCATATATTTCAAAATGATGAAACAAATTTTATATTATAACAAATGCCTACATAAAAACAAAGGTTCAGTTTGTTTTGGCCTACTTCTGAAATAAAAATGTCTTTGTCAAAAGAGAATGAAGATAGATATGAAGTAAACTTTAACTTGCACTCAAATAAAAGTCTTTTTGCCAATTTGGTATATATACGTGAAAATTTTCATTAAAGGAAAATGGTGTAAGGAATAGAGCAACCAATTGCTGTTAATCATGAGAATTCTATAAATTACAGTCACCAGAGTCAAAAGGAATATGTTGGCTGAACAGTAACAATAAAGGGAGTTGTAATTATTCTACATTTGGTATATTTGCTTTTGTCTTCTAATGATTTTATCAGATTTTTGCTTTTTTTTTATATGATTTAATGCATTCATCTAGGTTCTGAAATTTAATAACTTGGATGTATTCCCTCTGGTAAAAAAAAACAGTTTTTTTTTCTTACATAGTATTCATATGTTTACATCTGTGCCATTTGTGGTCATTTAAGTGCAGCTTAGTGAAGGCTCCGGGATAAAATATTAAGAGGATAGCGGCTGGATTTGAATTTGTTAGAAGATGTATGATTAGATGATGAATACAAATACTTAGATGTTTTAATTCTGTTTTTGTACATTATGAAATTAGAGTCACACCAATGGATGATGGAATCTCTCCCAACTGGAATGTTAGTTGGTGCAACATCCTACTAACTGTCAATAATTAATTTAAAGGCATAGGGTCCAACTATAAATGAATGTGATCAGAAAACAGAATAGTTCAATCAACTGAGGAATATGATGTAGCTCAATAAGTTCTGTTAGAAAGTGTCCAATTTTTACATAAGAGAAAAAGTGGGCCAGTACAAAAGAGGTTATGGACCACATGGAAGTGCCTGGAAAGTAATGGAACATTTCTGTCATACATTATCATGGACAGACCCTTCTACAGCCAATTGTGATAAAATCTGAAATGAGAACATATGCTGAAGGTCACGCTACTCACACTTGTTAAATGTGCATCAACAGTTGTTAGAAGAGGATTATTATGCACAGCTAACTTTCTGTCATCAGTTCAATGAAAAATTTAGCAATGATGATGCATTTGTGAGTAGTTTACTGTTCTCTAATGAAGCAACATTTCACATTAGTGGCAAGGTCAACAGGCATAATTGCCGAATTTGGGGAACTGAAAACCCAAATGAAACTGTTGAACATGAAAGGAACTCTCTTAAAGTTAATGTTTGGTGTGCTTTTGGAAAAAATCAGATCATAGGGCCATATTTTTTTCAATATTGTGTTATTAACAGTGACAGCTATTTAAATATGCTGCAGAATTACTTTATTCCACAGCTTGAACAATTAAACTTGAAAGACAATACAGTGTTTCAACAAGATGGTGCTCCTTGTCACTTTGCTCTGCGTGTTGGAGAGTTTCTAAATCAGGAATTTCCTAACAGATGGATCAGAAGGGGTGGACCATTTTATTGGCCTCCATGTTCACTGGACTTGACTCCATTAGATTTTTTTTTATGGAGACATGTGAAAACAATTGTGTATGCAACCAAACCTAGTTCATTAGAAGATTTGAAAGCTAAAATAACTAATGTGATTTCAGGCATTACTGTAAATCAGTTGGCAAATGTTTTCTGTGAACTGCAAAATCGTATTACTCTTTGTATTGCTAATGATGGAGGACATGTGGAAACTTAAATAAGATTTCAATAAAACCTTAAAAAATATAGATTTACTTCTTTCTAATCCTTTTTACAAATTATTTCTATTGCAAATATAAATAAAGTTATAAATTTTATGGTATTTGTTTTGGTTTGCATATTCCCCCACTTCTAGTATAGTTGTTTGGTAAGTGTAATGGTATTGTGTTTGGATGTGTTACCTCCTCATCTGTGGTAGGAACACTGGTGGTTAGATGGGTTGGAGTGAGTAGTGCTTCTCTGGTAAGCTCCTCCTGGCATTGTGAGGTACATTTGTGTCAGGATCCATGCTAAGATCAGAACTTTCCCCAGTGCCTCTAATGTGGTGCCTGTTCCGTCTAAATATATTGCCATCTTAGGGCTTTACTATGAGAGTCTTTTTGGAAGATCTTCTTGACTGTTTGTACTGTTCGTTCAGCCAGGCTGTTGGATTTTTGGGTATCTTTGGCTGAATGTATTGTGCACAAAGTCATATTCTTCTGAATACTTGACTAAACTGGAGGCCATTGTCAGAGACAATTTTCTCTGGTATCCCATATTCACAGAAAGTCAACTTCAAGTGTCTAATGATCACCCTGATGCTGATGGAGTGCACCCATGCTATCTTGAATTACCAGCTACAGTAGTCCACAACCATTAAGAAGTCTTTTCGATACCACTCAAATAGATCAGTGTCTATTGCTGGGTGTGATTGTAGGGTTTCTCTTGGAATTCAAAAGAGCCATACAGTCAAGGCACTTTAATACAAAATTATGTATTCCAGCAGAGATCCCAGCCTAAAATAGTATAGAGCAAGCTCTTTTAGGGTCTTCTCAATGCCAGTATGTCCTATGTGTCAGCACACTAATATCTGAGTCTGAATTGCTTTCAGAGTCAGGATTTTCTGGCCTTTCAGTATTAGGCCTTCTATGTAGGTTAATTTGTCATGGTGAGTATTCTATGGCCTGGGGGGTAGCATGATTTCCTTTGCTCAAGCCACCCATCTTGGATAAACTTAATGAGGGCTTGGAGTCCTAGGTGACATTGGGTAGCAATTTTGATAGCCTCTATTTTTTGATTAGAGACTGGTAGTTACTTCATTAGGCCATGTATGTATTTCTCTATTTCTTTGGCAGAAACTTTCTTGATAGTGTATCAGCTATAGGTATCTTGTTTCCTGGGACATGTATGATCTCTAGGTTGTAGTTGCCTAGCTAGAGCAATATCCTCTGTAACTGAGGAGAAGCAGAATGAAAAGATTTTTTGAAGATTGGCAATTAGGACTTGTGGTCAGACTCTATGGTGATGTTGCAGCCATATATGTAGTGGTGGAATCTTTTGTTCCTAAACAGGATGGCAAAAAGTTCTTTCTCAATCTCTGCATTTTTATCACCTTGTGTGAGTGATTTTGATGCATACGCTATTGATTATTTTTTTACATAAGAGAAAAAACGGACCAGTACAAGAGTGGTTATGGACCACATTGTATCAACTTCATTTTTCATTATCTTGAGTTGTTGCTGATATATTCACATATTTGGATGATTTGTATCACTTTGTTCAATGTCAATTCCATTTGTTGCCTTTGTTGAAGAGTCTCTTACATGCCTTGTCTGAGTTAATGCCAAAGACAAGTTGGTCTTTGACTATCTCATTCGGGTTCTGATACTCCTAGTCCTTCACTAACATTTTTATCCTTTACTGTTCTACAGTGTCTTTTCCTTACATTGTGCCATGTAGTTTGTATCATACAAATATGTGCATATTTACTGAAGTGTTCCAGCACTCCTGCAGCCTCCAGCTCACTCCTGCAGCTTCCAGCACTCCTACTGCTTCCAGCTCACTCCTGCAGCTTCCAGCACTCCTACTGCTTCCAGCCCACTCCTGCAGCTTCCAGCTCACTCCTGCAGCTTCCAGCACTCCTGCAGTTTCCAGCTCACCCCAACAGCTTCCAGCGGCCTCCAGCTCACCCCTGCGGTGCTCTACTGACGTCCCGCTACCTATTCCAGCACCAGCTGACGATCTAATCTAGTGCCCACTGACGTCCAGCGCCCGTTAACGTCCGGACACCGTTCCCAAATAAAGACACGATTTCCATCGTCTACAACAGACCATCCGCATTTGTCATCCTTCTTTGCTATTGTCATCTCCTTGCCTTTGCGTCCCCTATTTTAGTTGTACGGTCGATTGGCACTCACACCTCTCGGCCCGCTGCAACAAGTGGTGACCCCGACGTGATTTATGGACACAGGCAAACGGCTAGCAGAGAAGATGGCGGAACACACTGAAACAGAAATCAACACATCAGCCGCCCTGATACAACTACCGCCATACAACTCGATCAACACCAGGAGTTGGTTTATTCAACTTGAGGCGATATTTTCAGCCCGAAAGGTCACACGACAGGACACTAAGTACGCCTCCATGGTACAAGCCTTACCAGCATCAATCGTTGAAGAAGTGGAAGACATCCTTCTCAATACTCCGGACCAACTCCCATACACCTGCCTCAAAGAAGCCATCCTCAAACGAACTGGACGTTCGGACGAAGAACTCATCAGAGACTTATTCTCTAATGTGTCTCTCAGCGATAGGATACCATCCCAGCTCCTCCGCCTGATGAAGAGCCGCCTCGGGAACAACACTATGGCAGAACCCATCCTCCGAGGGCTATGGATGGATCGGTTACCACCGAATATAACGCAAGTCCTAGCCCTGGTACCAGTAGAAACGCCCCTTGACGTTGTGGCCGATTCAGCTGACAAAATATACTCCCAGGCTCACCAAAAAGTTCACCAGATTGAAACCACGAAAACCACACAACGCCTCGAAGAGGAGATGACCCCAGCCACGCCAGAGTTGAGAGACCTGAAACTCTCCCTATGCCGGGGCGAATAGCCAGCACCATGCACGCGAAATCGAAGCCGTGCCATAGCTCAAGTCCAGGACGGAGAAACAGTGGGACGAATGTTGGTACCACTAAACCTTCGGTGACCGAGTCCGCAAGTGCCACCTCCCTGCAGACTTAATAAGGCCCAGGGAAACGAATAGACCGACAGGCAGCGACGACGATCCCTGTCGGTACTCGCTCTCACAGTCGTCTCTTCTATGTGTGGGACCGTGAATAATGGCCTCAAATTCCTAGTTGACACTGGCGCAGCCATCAGCGTAATACCACCCATCAACAGATCCACCTTGAAACCCACCCCATTCCAACTTCGAGCGGCAAACGGCTCCACCATAGAAACCTATGGGAACAAAGAACTTACTTTGAATATCAACCTCAGGTGCCACTTCAAGTGGTCATTCACCGTAGCTGACATCAGGACACCCCTTACCGGTGCCGACTTCTTGGCACATTACAACCTGGCTGTCCATATGAAGACAAGGACCCTGTCCGACAACATGACAACCATCAAGATCACGGGGATCCCATTGAGCTTCAACACAACTAGGATCATCGTGGCAACACAGCACGACCCCCCTACGTAGAAATCCTGCGCCTTACAAGCACCTCCACGCAACCCATCAAACCAACTGATGCAGGCGACCATCAGACCCAACACCATATAAAGACCACCGGACAACCAGCATATTCACGGCCACGACGACACCCTCCACACAAACTAGCATATGCCAAGAAAGCGTTTGAGGAGTTGCTGGCCGACAATATCATCCGACCCTCAGACAGCCCATATGCCTTCACCACTGCATCTGGTACCCAAATCCGACGGGGATTTCAGGATCTGCGTGGATTACCGGAAACTCAATGCATCCACAGTACCCGACCGGTATCCTGTTCCGCACATCCACGACTTTGCCTCAGGTTTGGGGGGGCCCGCATTTTCTCAAAAATTGACCTGACCAAAGCCTACTACCAAGTTCCAGTTGCTCCGGAGGACATCCCAAAGACAGCAGTCACAACCCCTTTTGGACTGTTTGAATTCCTAAAAATGCCCTTCGGACTGCGCAACGCAGCCCAGACGTTCCAGAGTCTGATGGACAAAGTTCTGCGTGGACTACCATACGTCTACGCATACATTGATGACATCCTACTGGCTAGCAGAGACGCTGATCTCCACAAACAACACCTGGAGGAAGTGTTCCGCCGTCTAACACATTACGGCCTCCGAATCAACCCAGACAAGTGCGAATTCGGTGCACAACACATAGACTTCCTCGGACACCACACAGACGCTCAGGGAATCACTCCACTTCCCGATAAGATAAAAGCCATACAGGATTTCCCGAAGCCCACATCGATAAAGCAACTGCGACGCTTCTTGGGGATGGTAAATTTTTACCACAGGTTTATCCCCGGATGCTCAAAACTCCTCATCCCACTGACAAATCTTCTCCAGAGAAAAAACAAAGCCATCACCCTGGAGGGCGACCAGGAAAAATCATTCCAAGCAGCAAAAAACTTTTTAGCTAACTTTACGAAGTTAGCACATCTCAACGAAGACACCCGGACTCAGATATATCTAACAACAGATGCCTCAGACACTGGAGTTGGAGCTGTGGTAGAACAGGAGGTTGACGACCAACGCAAACTCATCGCATTCTTCTCAACTAAATTATCACCAGCCCAGTCCAGATACAGCACCTTCTCGAAAGAACTTTTGGCTATATACCTCGCCATCAAACACTTCCGACATCTACTGGAAGGCCGGAATTTCACCGTTTTGACCGACCACAAACCCTTGGCAACTTCCCTGTCGAACAACTTGGACAAATATACGGCTCGCGAGATCAGACATCTAGACTATATCTCACAGTTCACGTCTGATATTCGTTATGTCAAAGGAAAAGACAACTCTGTCGCCGATGCCCTATCCAGATTCGATGTCAACACTGTGAAAAACATCCCACTCAGCCAGGACCTGATAGCAGAGGCCCAGCAATCCGACGCAACCCTCCCCGAAGTCCTAGCCAACACATCCCTGCAACTGAAAGAATTTCCGGCACCTTTCAGCAACAAAATATTGTACTGCGATACAAAACTGGATCACCCCAGACCCTACATACCTCCGGCACTCAGAAGGCAAATTTTCAACCACCTACATGGATTGTCACATCCCAGCAAGCGCGCTACGGTCAAACTCATTGCCGACCGTTTTGCGTGGCCCAACATGAATATTGACATCCGTAATTGGGTATCAACGTACCTTAAGTGCCAGAAATGCAAGGTACACCGGCACACAAAATCCCCGCCAGGCACATTCAGCAACCCTGACGCACGCTTCAGCCACATCGACATAGTGGGACCCCTCCCAATGTGCCAGAATTACCAGTACCTCCTCACAGTGATTGACCGTTTCTCCAGGTGGCCAGTAGCAGTACCCATCAGAGATACCTCGGCTAACACGGTAACAAAGACCATTCTTCAGGGGTGGATCGCAATTTTTGGCGTACCCAGCATCATCACCACAGACCGCGGCGCGCAGTTTCAGTCCTCACTCTTTCAGGAATTCACTCAACTGCTCGGCGTCAAACACATCAAGACCACCGCCTACCATCCCTGTGCCAACGGCCTTGTGGAAAGGTTCCACCGAACACTAAAGGTCTCTCTAACTACAAAACATCCCACCAGCAACTGGGTAGACGAGCTACCCCTAATCCTTTTGTCAATCCGCAACACACTCAAAGAAGACTTAGAATGCACTCCAGCCGAAATAGTCTTCGGTACAGCACTCTCTTTACCCGGCCAATATTTCGACGACACCCTAACCACTGCAAGTCCTTTCACTCAGGAACTTCGCCATAAAATGGCCCAACTGAAGTATACACCACCCAGGCAATCATCACCAACTATCCACGTTCCACAACAGCTTCAGGACTGCGAGTTCATTTTTGTCCGAAATGACGCGGTAAAAAGAAACCACTAACACCAACATACCAGGGTCCATTCAAAGTCTTAAAACGCTCTGAGAAGCATCTCACCATTGATCGAGGAAACCGGACGAACACCATCTCCATCGACAGAGTCAAACCAGCTTTTCTGGAAAAAATCTCCACGGGAGACAGAACCCGTCTCAAACACACCCAGAACCCTCACCTGCCTCAACAACCACGCAATCGCAACCGTCACAACCGAGGTCAGAGCTAATCCCAGAATCACCCACCACTCCACCTAGGCAGACCCGTCTTGGAAGGAAAGTCACCTTCCTAAGAAATACAAGACATATATTTTCTTCTAATTGATAATGATCAATTATCCTGGGAGAGGCCTTGTCGCAGTGTGCCCAAACACCCTCCCATTTTTTCTTAAACAACCCCGGATATGCCTGCCGGTAGAGAAAGGTCACGACCCTTGTGTGCTAAAAAATAGCAACGACATCCTTTCAAACTGACAGAAACACACAAAACTCAATTTTCGCCACTAAACAAAAATAAAAGACCTTTAATTTCGAAACGAAATTAATCTAAATACAGTCAACAAACACCGAACACACTTTTGACTGTAATTAATACGGCCCGAAATTAATTATATTCATTTACTTGTTTAGTGTCACCGCTTCTCTTGTATGAACCGTCATATCTAGATGCTCGAGACTTCGCAGCGGTTTTTAGCCGGCCAGGGAGCTGCTAAGACAAGCCAAGACCAACTTGGACCAAAACTTGTTTAAGTTTTGACCAGCTTTGACATGTTAGCCAAAACATTGACAAAGCTTTGACCAGCTTGGACATGTTATGACCAATCTTTGACCAGTGACCCATGCGGAAACGCTTGGGTTTCCACGAAAACGACCTTGTGTCACATCTTGACCCCGTGGGAGTTAAGTAAACCCGCCTTCCAGGGCAGCCTGGCCTTCGGGCTCGGTTGCGACCATGGCAAAGTCTAGTTTGGACCATATTTCCTTTTGCTAAGAATAAACCGGACCAGAACTTGAATGTTTTGAAAAGCTTGGACAGTATGACCAATCTTTGACCAGTGACCCTATGCGGAAACGCTCGGGTTTCCACAAAAAACGACCTTGTGTCACATCTTGACCCCGTGGGAGTTAAGTAAATACCGCCGGCCGGGGAGCAGCCCGGACTTCGGGCTAGGTTGCGACCATGGCAAAGTCTAGTTTGGACCATATCAGGACCTGCTACAACAAGCCAAGAACAACTTGGACCAAAACTTGACTAAGTTTTGAACAGCTTTGACATGTTATGGCCAAAACATTGACTAAGCTTTGACCAGCTTGGACATGTTATGACCAATCTTTGACCAGTGACCCTATACGGAAACGCTTGGGTTTCCCACGAAAAACGACCTTGTCTCACATCTTGACCCCGTGGGAGTTAAGTAAATACCGCCGGCCAGGGAGCAGGAAGCCTCCCTGATTCGCGACTTTGACGCGCCCAGTCAAGTCGACCAAGCCCAGCAGCTGACGGGACCCAGAAGCAGTAGCAGCAGTCCTTTTCAGGGCTAACTTCCGAAAGTCATTCGATCACCATTCTTCAAGGCTCCACTCACTTCACTCTTTGCTACTGCCTTCCCTCTGAGACGCCAGCTCACTCCTGCAGCTTCCAGCTCACTCTTGCAGCTTCCAGCACTCCTGCAGCCTCCAGCTCACTCCTGCAGCTTCCAGCACTCATGCAGCTTCCAGCAGTCTTCAGCTCACTCCTACCGCTTCCAGCTCACTCCTGCAGCTTCCAGCACTCCTACCGTTTCCAGCTCACCCCAACAGCTTTCAGCGGCCTCCAGCTCACCCCTGCGGCGCTCTACTGACGTCCCGCTACCTATTCCAGCACCCGCTGACGATCTAATCCAGTGCCCACTGACGTCCAGCGCCCGTTAACGTCCGGACACCGTTCCCGAACAAACGACCTCTGTCGTCTTACCATCCACCGTTCGCAAATAAAGACACGATTTCCATCGTCTACAACGGACCATCCGCGTTTGTCATCCTTCTTTGCTATTGTCATCTCCTTGCCTTTGTGTCCCCTATTTTAGTTGTACGGTCGATTGGCACTCACACCTCTCGGCCCGCTGCAACAAACTTGTTATGATGTTAATTTGGGGTTAATAAAGACAAACGCCAAATAACATGTAACAATAAAATGGGGTTTATTCGGTTGGTAAGTTGGTACAGATATCGCCTGAGTAGTCTATAGCTAACTCATTTCAGAACTTCTTCTACACTGTCTTTTGACATGCCACTATTTAACGTCCTTGTTTGTAGACGAGTTCATCTTCAAGAGGGGTGGTAGGTTCCTACACAACAAAACTAATACCTAATCAAAGGGACACGACTCTGTCCTACCTTTTCAGTTCGCATTCATGTAATCAAAGATTAATAAATCTAATTATGTTTTGGAATCATTCAGTTCAGTTTTGTATTTTATTCTATGTGCTATTTATGTCAAGTATAAATTGCATTGCTTTCACGCATTGTCCTTAATCTCATCTTTCCTAGCCCAAGTTAAATATTGGTAACTCAAAAACTACAACGAGGATAATACAACAGCTACATATTTGATGATCCCGTCGGAAATAAACAACAATGGTACGGTAAATGTTAAATGCTCTTCAACACGCAGCCACATCAATCTTTTCAACACAACCAGCATGTACAATTTAAAAACTGGCACGTAAAATTTGCTTGCATGCCACTTTGAAGCTGTAGTAATCCACATAAGAGCTCTCCTCACGGATGTTCTCACTTCAAGAACAGAAATACAATTGTAAAGAAGTTGTCTCTACGCAAATGATTTACGCATATAATATAGAAATAATTTGTTTTTCAACAGTTACAAGTTTAAAAAATTTTGCTTTTCAAGTCATGGACTTTCTTTAAATAAAAGGTGAATTCTTCAATCATCAAAACAGCCAGAAAGTTAGACTCATATGATTACACACACGTTAAACATTCTTTATCTACAAATTTTGATCACTGGATGTTCTACCTAAAAGTTCGTCACTTTTAAATTAAAGAACTAATTGCATTCATCTTTCTCACTTAGTTTCATTGAACCTTATCCCTCTACAAAATCGCTAATGATACTAGGATGAAAAAATGTCCAAAACTTGATTAAAAACTAGGTTTTAAATTGTCAAAATCTTTATTATTAAAAGGAAAGACCAAAGTATTTTTTAATTATATTTTTTAAATCCTTTTTAGATCATTCAAAATTTTAGTTAAAACTTGTTTTTCTTGCAAATTATTTTTGCGGTGAAAAATACACTGATTTGGAATTCTTGCAAAAATCAAATAATTGTCACATTTTAATTAAGGTTTCAGAACTTATTCACAAATGAATGAAATTATTTAGAAGTGTTTTTCTTTTAGAAAATCTTGGTAATTTTTTTTAACATGTGCTACAACCCACTTAATTAATTTTATGAAAACTTGAGAAATTCAGCGAGATAATTTTTAGTGACTATAGTATAAAAGCAGAACTCTTTGAAGAGTTTACTTAATCATCAATTACTTTTTGTAAAATCGGATCCTATCTTATTAAAAATCTGCTCTGAACCGTAAAATAAAACAAATGCAATAAAACTAAGGCATTATTTAATTAGAAAAGTCTTTAATTGCTTTCATATATTAAGCGTATCATTGTCTTAAGAAAAACATTTCGAAGAATAATGAATTTTTACAAGATTTGTTTTCATTTTTTAAAAAATAGAATCATTTTTAAGAATAAAGTTTTAAATATTTATAAATTCAGTTTCAATGTTGTAACGGTTAGCAAATATTGTTAAAACTATATTTACTAATCATAAATCTAAAAGCTTATTACACTCTGAGCTATCCCAGTATTTTAAAAAGATTTTTGAATTGATTTTTTTGTATGTGTAAATGTGCTGATTTTTGTAGATGCCGAAGTTCATACACGGCATTATAATTTTTTATAAAATAAAAGTGATAGTGGAAGTATCCTTAGATTACGGAGAATATTTTCCTACATTTTTAAGATAACTGACTACTTAAAAATTATAAATAAAAAGGCACTCGCGTTATATTCTATTATTTTTCAAGGCTAAAGCCTACATAGAATACTAGATAAACGTCCATCTGTCATCAAGCTGTCAAACACGTCAACAGCTTATATAAACAGTTACTGTTGTATCAAAAAATGCATTTTTGCAATATTTTAAAATTAAAGTAAATAATATTTGTTCAAATAAGATTAATTATATTTATATTGTGGGGTGGGGGGCAGAACATATTTGGCTTATTTCTCTCTGGAGATAAAAGTTGCTACAAGGCCACCACCTGATGTATCTTTTCAAATAAGACCTCTTTCCCTATTATTTAATTTATGAAGATCAAAAACTCTTGACGAAAAGACAAGAAAAAAGAAATAATGGTTCAAAACATCTTACTTTAAAAAAGGATATAAGAGAGTTGTCGGGACCGGAGAAGAAGTCTATTTTATCGGTTATATCCAGTTTCTCTTATATCCGGGTTTGGTCAATTTTATATACATTAACACAGGCTCTAATTTGGGACCAAGACAATCTCTCTTATATCCGGGTCTCTTATATCCATTTTTTAATTGCAGAAAAACGTAACAATTGAATTTATTTTTGTTTGTGTACATGCATGAATATTGAGTGAAAAGGTAGGAGTCGTATCCTTTTGATTAGGTAATAGTTGTACCTGAGTTCATATTACGAGGAAGTAATTATTAAACTGTAATATTGAGTGTTTGGAATAGTATTAACAAGTTAGGTAGAGTTCAGAAATGATACTTGCATGAGTTAAGTATTGTTCATTTAACGTCTGACTGGACCAGTCGAGACGGAGTTCCTTTAGGGTCACATTTTGGCGGCGTGTTGAGATGTACGAGTGACGTAGATAAGTTAGGCTCGAGTCAGGAAGAGCAGGAACAGAGAGAGAATATCACACGTGTTGGGTTTATATATCTGCCTATATCACGTGACTGGCTCAGATGGAAAACGCAGTAAAACAGATTTGTCGCGTGCAGGCGGTTTGATTGGTCGGAACTGACCAATCAGTAAGTTGGATGTACTGTGATTGACCAATAGTTTCTCGTTGATATTTTGTATGAAAGTAGACTGTTACTTACCATATAGGAAGAGTGCATTTCCTAAAAAGAGGAAAGGCTGGTTTGTTGTGGAAGATTCCACAATATCAGCTAATATTCCTCAATAAACTCAGTTTCAGAAAAGTATATTTTATTTTTGGAAGATTTTTTAATAAAAAGAATTACATTGAAAAGACGTAAGGCTAAAAATTGCAGCAAATTAAAAAAAAATCAGAAATCTCAACACGAATACTCCTTCCAGTCAGTTTAAATTACTTTTAAAATACAGCAAAGTATTTTACTTATTGGAAATATTAAATTCAATATATTAGCTTGAAATTAAAACTAAAATAAAAGCTTCATTCAAAAAATTCATTAGGTATTGCGAATCTGTAGAGGTACCTATTTTTATAAAATAAAATAAGACATATCTATATGATATTTATAGGCAAATACTCAAGAGCGAGAGCCGGATATGAACGGAACAAAGCCCCGTCACAAAATGACCATTATCTTCATTTACAAATTTTCATTGACACACGAGTTCCGGTCGAAAAATAAAATAATATTTAAAAGTGTTCTATTTTTTCGTCCAATAAAATGCTTCCTCCTAATTATACTCGCTTCGTTTTTTCAAGCCTGTTAAATATATAAAAACGCTATAAAAGGGGTCATACGAAAGTTCAACAGGCAGTCAACAGTTGGCCATAAAGGAGACCTGTCACGGTCAGGCCGAGCGTTCAGCAGCGGTCAGCAGGAGAGCATCAACCACCGTCAACATGTGTGAACTATTATGAGAGATCGACCTAGATCCGAAGCCGGCTTATGAACTTTACCACAAGGTAGCTGTCCCAAACCCACACGTTTCTGTTGAAATAAACCACGTAAATCTATTTCTGCTGTTGTCGTATTTCTTTCTTGAAACCATACGCTTGTCTATAACACCATGAACTAATAATTTTTCCTTCTTGGAACATTGAAACACTTAATGGAATCCTCCATATTTGTTACTCACCCCTGCGGAAAAATGCACTTTTCTCCCAAACCAACTATAACCAATCGTTTCTTCACTTTTCTAAACTTGACTTCTCATTGGTTAAAAGTAGGTACCTCTACGAAATCGCTAAAAAAAAGAGCATAGCATGATGAAAAAGACGCCAAACTTGACGAAAACAAAATTTTATCGTCTAAATGCTTATGTTGTTATTAAGAGGAAAAGATTTTTTGTTTTTTTAATTGTTTTTTTTTTTTCCTTTTTCCAGGACATTCTAAATTTTGAATTTTTCTTTTGTATGTCCATGAGAAGTAAAAAAATAACAATTTTTTTTTTTTTTTTTTTTTTTTTTGTATGACAGAAATTAATTTGGAAAATCTTGCAAAAATAAAACTAATTGTCGGATGTTATGAAACTTTCAAAAATTATTCACAGATGATCGAAATTATTATATGTTTTTTTTGCTTTTTTTAATAAAGTGATGGCAGAAAATTTTTTTTTATATTTATTAGATAACTAATTTTATGAAAACGCTAGAAATTCGATCGCATCGGGCTTAGTGATTAAAAGCACAAGACTTTGAGGAATGAAAATCATGTTTTTTTTTGTTTTTAATTGGATCCCCACCCCTACCTGAAAATCAGCTCTGAATTGTAACATATAAAAAACTCAATAAAACAAAGATATTATTTAATGTCAAATGCTTTTATTTGCTTTTAGTTGTTTTATGAATATGGACAATATTTTCTGAAAGCAAAAATTTTTTCGATGAAAAATGAATTTTTAATACAATTATTTGTTATTTTTAAT